ACTGGTTTCTACAGAGAGGAAAACCCAAGGTCAGCTTAGTCAGAATGAACTCAGAGCCTGACTAACGTTTTGGTCAAAAGAGAGTCTTTGTTAATACTGACACAACTGATACTCCCCATTTAATTCAGAATTACAAGGTTTTTACATAAGCTCTTCTACATTGCGTCAGTACTTTCTTTCACATTAAAAATTCTACTCCCCAACACCATCACCGTAACTACTGTCAATGGAAAAGAACCCAAACTCTGCAAAAGAGGTTAATTCAGAACCGAATATGTGTGACCATGGCCCAGAGAGCCATGCCCAAGAAGCCTTGAACAAGTGGTCTTGCCGTGCTTGGGTTACAATTTGGTTTTATACATTTCAGTGAGAGAGGAATTACACATAAAGTCATAAATCAATGTGTGTAATGTAAGTTGTACATTGGTTTGGCCCAAAAAGTCAGGAAGTATCTCGAAGCAAGACATTACAGGTTATAGGTTGTTTTAAAGAGCCTTTGATTTGTAACTGGTTAAAGAAATGAAGCTTTGTCTAAAGGCTTGGAATGTTTTAGGATAAGAAAAGGAAGTCTGTTAATTAGAGACAAGCCACCGGACATATACCCAGACTTGAGTAATCTATTATGTAAATTGTGACCTGCAGGTGGGTTCAAGCTTTGTCTTGCACAGCGTTAAGGCCTGTTAATGAGTTACAAAAGGTAATCTCCAAGGAAGGATGGGGTGTGATGAGGCATGTCTGACTTCCCTTCTCATGGCCAGCCACTCAGCTGTAGGGTAGTTCTAGGGTCCTCTTGGCCAAGAGGGAGTCCATTCAGTCAGCTGGGGGCTTATGATTTTCTTTCAGTTCACAATACTCATTCACTTTACCTCAAAGTAGCTCACATAACAACCTCGGAATAATGATATCATCGTGACTACCACCAGTATAATTACTAAATATGGTTTGAAATTTGTTTTCAGTTTTCCGTCTTTTATTTCTTAACCTGTCTAGGTTCTCTGTGCTTCCGATGATATTCCTGGATACAGCATCACTCTCCATTTTGCTTTGTTAGCTAATCTGAAGCTCTTTTTATTTTTATAATTAAGCCCATTTACTTTAATCAGTATGATTCACATGTTTCATTTCATTTTTTTTTTATTATTATGTGGCCTCCTGTTTTATTTGTTCTGTCTGATATATCTTTTGTGTCTAGGAAGGTTTATATTGTTGTCCGAAATTGGTGTTTCTGTGACCACTTCTACTTAATACCCTTAAGATCCTCCTTTTTGGGTCCTACTTATCAGTTCCCTACTTTGAGGGCTCTGATAGTAGCAAGTAATCGCTTCCCTCCTTTCGCTTCCTTGTTCCCCAGCATCTAAGTTAAAGCACTGTAATATTGTTTTACTCACAGTTAATACTAGAAAGCCGTAAGTTAGCATTTCTACTTTCCATACACTCTTCACCTTCTCTCTCCACCTTCTGGGGGTTGGGCTGCGTGTACATCATGAGAGTATCTAATGATTACTGCACTGTCTCCCCTATTTCTACCATGCAATGTGAGCTCTACAAGGAAGTACATAGTTGCTCCTCACCCTCAGTCCTTGTGCCTGATTCTCGCCAGCCATCTGGGTGGTGGAAACTTGTTCTCAAAGTTGATTCCCAGGAAAAGCTCATGGGAACAGTAATCAGTAAATCCCACTATGATCATAATATTTTGTCAGTGGACTTTATACTTGAAGGTCAGTTTGTCTGAATACATAGTTCTTGGCTCACATTTTCTTTCCTTGGGTGTTTTAAATTCGCCACCCCTTACCTTCTGGCCCAAAACATTGCCATTCAGAAGTCTGACAGCCACCTTATGTTCTATCTTTTAGAAAGGACTTGGTTGCCAGTCTCTGGGCAGTGTACGATTTTGGAAACAACACTCAGCCTTGCAAGCTTGAGAGACGGGGGTTATAGCCTCATGCTCAGGATTAGTGCTGTATGTTGGGTAAGCTATTTAACCTCTTTCTTCCTGCCTCTGCTGTAAAAAGGGTGATACAACTATCACACAGGTCATTGTGAGGCTTGGGTTAGGTAATATTTGTGATGGACCCCAGTCTTTCTAGTGAAGCCAGCTGTAACAATGGGTTTCTCTGGACTAGTTCTTTTTCTGTAGAGAGAAAATAATTGAGTCTGAAGTTTTAGGAGCTACAGAAAAATGAAAACACTAGTGACTCACATTTCAATAACTTTATAAAGTACTTTTGTAACCAGAAGCGATTTCAAAGAGATCTAGTTTAATATCGAAGAAAAATGGCAAATCTCTTTTTTTCTTTGATAATCCTTGTTTTTGTTTCTTTTTCGTTTTTTGTTTGTTTTTTTTTTGTATTGTGACTTTCAACTTCCGTTCTTCTCCACACTCAGAAAGAACAACTTAGGCTGGGCGCAGAGGCTCACACCTGTAGTTAGTCCCAGCACTTTGGGAGGCTAAGTTGGGAGGATGGCTTGAACCCAGGAGTTCAAGGCTGCAGTGAGCTATGATCGCACCACTGCGTCCCAGCCTGGGTGACAAAGCAAGACCTTGCCTCTAGAAAAAAAAAAAAAAAAGAAAAAGAAAAAATCTCAATCAGCCCAATCCCTTGAGTTCTTTAAATAATGCTGATCAAATGATCAATATTTAACCAGCTTTATCAGTTCTTTGGACAGACCCATTAACTAATGAAAATACCCTGTTATAATAGCATGAGGAATGAGTGCACAACACATTTGTTTGCTAGATTCTATCTCCCTCCCTTGATTTCTTACCAGTTATCTAAATTTCCCATCAAAACACTCTGCTGGATGTGCCCTGAGAATGCATTTCTATAATACAAAATAAGAATAACCTCAAAATGTGTTTTTGGTGTTCAGGGTTTACCTTGCACAGGAGAGAGGAAACATATCTGGGAACAGACAGCAATATTGACAGAGCTCCAGAGCTCCTGCAGGAGACAGTCTGATGACCAGTGTCAGCCTTTTTTGAGGCCAACGCTGGAAAAGAAGGAGAGAAAATGTATAATCCTTGATGCATGTGGGCAGCCCCTCCCTCCACCTTATTTTTCTTTCTCTCTCCAAATAACCGTTTAAAAGTTCTCACTGAGGCCAATCTTTCAAACAAGCAGGCCACCGATTCAGCACATGGGTTGCAAAAAGACTGCCGATTGCCTTTTTCATACGCTTATTCCCGTGGCCATGCAGAAAGAAAGAAATTCACATACCTGGCCTGGGCTCCACGTATATAGGGACAGTCCTAGTTTTGGTGAAAGAAACATTTGCATTCTTGTTTCTTTAATTATCCAGAGAGCAACACTGGGCTCCCTGCTCCCTTGTCAGCCATTGCCCTGTGTTTTATATGCATGTTTAAAGGTTACAGAAACATTCTGTGTGTAGGTCTTTGCTTGTCAAATGGGGCTTCTGACATTCTGGGATGTCTCCTCCATGAGTAGGATAAACTGTGTGGTTGCCACATGCTTCAACTTCACACTTTCCCCCAGGTGAGGCTCTGGCTCCTTCACTTCCAAAAAGGCCAAGAAATGTGATTTTTGAGGTCGGGCATAGTGGTTTATGCCTGTAATCCTAGCACTTTCGGAGGCCAAGGCAGGAGGATCGCTGGAGGCCAGGAGTTTGAGAGCAACACAGGAGGACCCCATCTCTACAAAAATATAGAAATTAGTTGGGCATGGTGGTATGCACCTGTAGTTCCAGCTACTTGTGAAGCTGAGACAGGAGAATCACCTGAGCCCAGGAGTTTGAAGTTGCTGTGAGCTATGATGACAGTACTGCACTCTAGCCTGGGCAACAGAAGGGGACCTGTCTCAAAAAATCACAAACAAACAAACAAAACAAGAAATGTGGCCAGGCATGGTGGCTCACGCCTGTAATCCTAGCACTCTGGGAGGCCAAGGCAGGAGGATCATTTGAGCTCAGGAGCTCGAGACCAGCCTGAGCAAGACTGAGACACCATCTCTACTAAAAAATTAAAAAGAAATTAGCTGGACAACTAAAAATACATATAGAAAAAATAAGCTGGGCATGGTGGCACATGCCTGTAGTCCCAGCTACTCGGAAGGCTAAGGCAGGAGGATTGCTTGAGCCCAGGAGTTTGAGGTTGCTGTGAGCTAGGCTCATGCCACGGCACTCTAGCCCGAGCAACAGAGTGAGACTCCGTCTCAAAAAAAAAAAAAAAAAAAAAAAAGAAATGTGGTGATTTGGGTATTTTTTTCTCATCTTCACAAAAGAATTTTGCCTAATTCTTTGTGAAATTCTTTATCACCAATGCTCACTCCAAGGATTGCCTAATATTTTGGGCATTCCTGAATACTGTTGATATCAACAAAATGAAAACCCTGCCCCTAACCAGGGCAGTCATGGGTCTCTGGGTGTGGGCTGCAGACCCGGGACAACTAGCCTTCTCCAACTTTCCAGGGCCAGCCCTTCTCCCAACCCACTGCCCCCAGACAGCACCTCCAGAGTCAGGAGGCTGTGGATGCAATGTTTTGTCTCCCCAGAATTTATCTGTTGAAACCTCAACCTCCTGTGACGGTATTTGGAGGTGGGGCATTGGTAGGTGATTAGGCCATGAGGGTGGAGCCTCATGTTGGGGCAAATGCCCTTATACAGAGAGGAAGAGACACACAGTCTTTCTCTCTGTGTGCAAGCACCAAGGAAAGGCCATGTGGGGACATAACAAGAAGAGGGACCTCACCAGAACCCAACCCTGCTAGTGCTCTGGTCTTAGCCTTCCGGCTTCCAGAACCGTGAGACATGGAGGTTTGTTGTTTAAGCCACCGAGTCTGTGGCATTTCACTGCAGCAGCCTGAGCTGGCTAAGACGTAGCAGAGCTAGTCTTGCCTGTTTGTTGTATTTGTTGTGTTTGTTGTATTTGTGAGCTACATCTGTGAAAATCTTGTCTTTTTTAAGTAAAAAATGAGAGAGGAAGATGGGGCGATCCGGGGGCTTTATGAGGAGTTGGGGAACTAGGAAGAGAAGAAGCTGGGTAAGAGGTGATATCAAGCAACGACGCACCAAAGTGAGCAATGCCGAGAAGGGGAGGCGTGGGCGGGCACGGGGAGAAAGAAGGCTTGGGAAGCCAAGGCAGGCTGTCTTGTTGGACGTAATCCAGATCAGCGAGGCTATCCTAATTCCATTTTAGGGTGCAAAATAAGCCAAGAATTGTATTTTAATGAATTAAATGCAATAGTAACTTTGCAAAGGGACTCCTGAACTGTCTATAGCAGTGCCGTGTGCGGCGGCGGCGGCAGGCTCCTTAGCCCAGGCCTCGGCCAAGCTCCTCTAGAGTCTGTGCTGGGGGCCTGCTCGGGTGGGACTCTGTGCCCGCCCAGCCTCTTTGCATCCAGAGGTGAAGGCAGCAGGTTACCTTATGTGAAAATCACCTTAGTTATTTCCCTTAATAATCCTAAGGAGTGCAATCGAAGCTTCTGGTTTTTATTGTTTTGTTTTCTTAGGTGCAGTAGAGACTGCCCTTCCTTAGTTTACAGACCAAGGGTCTGCAAGTGGGGTTGATGATGAAGTTGCAGAGGAAAATCAGGGGCCTCCAACGAGTCAGAAAAACAGTCTCCAATCTCCTCTTTCTGATCCTGGCAGTTAGGAAAACCTCAGGCATGAAACCACAGCAGTCCTGGCCACGCTCTGTGGACAGCAGCTTTGCCCCACTCAAGGAAAAGCTGTTGACAAGGTGCAACCACCAGGACATGAGTGAGGACAGGACCCAAGACCCCTAAAAGGTATTTCTCCCCCAGTCCACGTATATACACACCTACCTTCCTCTGCACTCACCCTCCCGGCTCTCCATTCCAGCCGGGAGTGCCCCCAGATGTCTAGGTGAGGTCTCCCTGCCTGGGACTTCAACTCCAGCCCCTCCTGCCTTCTCAGGAGTCTTACTCTGTTCAGTTATTCCATCTCCTTGTTCCTCACACCTTCAACACCTCCCACGTCTCACTCTCAGCTGTTGGGCTTGCCTCTCATTTTATTGAGAAAATAGGAGCCCTGTAAGAGAGCTTCCAAAAGCTGTCCCCACCACCATCTGCCACGGGCCACTTTCCTGTTTTCCCAGAATCATAGGCGGCTTCCTTGTCTCTAGCCCCCGCAAACCCCGACTCCTCTGCCGGAATAGACCACTCCACACACAAGTCTGAGGCTCTCACTGTGCCTCTGCCTAATTAGCTCTGCCTAATTCTCCCCGGAGTTCTCAGCACTTAACTTCCTGGGCCTGGTGCCCTGGTCCTGCCCTCCTCACACTCCCAAACGTGCTTGTCCTCGGGCCCTTCTGGCTCATCCCTGGCTCATGCCCGGCTGCCTCCCTACTGACTCTGCGGTCCCTCTGCTCGAGTCGCTTTCCCGATCATGCTCAGTCTTCAAAGTGGTCCGTGTGCCGCACGCACGATCACTTCCCCTGCCCAACATTTTAGATGCCAATTTTCTGTGCTGTTGGGGCATCTGTGACATTTTTTAAATGTTTGGTTTCCATGTGTGAGGATGAGCAATGGAGTGTGGAGGGCCCACGAGTTGGGTGAAGATACACATTTTTTTAATCAGTTAGAAGAGGGATCTTGGTGGCGTGTGAGCAGCTCACAGAGGCTGGGCTGGAAGCAGGAGCTGCTCCAGGTGGATCTACCAGGTGAAGCGGCCACAGCACTGCTAATAGGACTTGGAAAGTTCAGGCACAGCTGGATCCAGCTGCTCAAGCAATGCCCTTGGGGTCTTCTCTCTCTCTCTCTCTCTCTGTCTCTTTCTCTCGGTCTCTTCCCTACCCCCTGCGCCCATCTGTGGCCTTGCTTGTTTCTGCTCGTCTTTGTTCTGCAGAAACTCTGTCTTCCGAAGCCTCAGACTCCTACTTACTGATCCCAACAAAGCGGCTGTAAACCAGGGGTGTAGACTCTAATAGCAAGGCCACAATTTATGGAGGAGGGTCTGGTGACTGCTCTTTTTCTGGGTTTAATTCAGTAGAGGAAGTGGCGTCATCGATACTATTGTGGGCAGGAAAGGTGACCCAAGGCCCATGCAGCCAGGTCCCCTCCCCAGCAGCCCCCTCAGGCCAGCCCCACCTGGGCTCCCAGCGGCTCTCAGGGCCACTGGGATTCAGTGTGGCAGCTCTGTGGTGTCCTTGGCCCCAGGCAGTGGCCAATTTACAAGGGTAAAATGACAAAGTTGGGGTGTTCTCTAGAGCTTTGCCTGGCACCCTCTGGGCTGCTAAGGGCTTTTTTCCTCCTTTCTTAAAGAAGGAAGAGTAAATGCCCTGGAGGTCTTTCCTTTTGTGACAGAAACTGTATTTTTTCCAAAGTACTGACAAAGTATAATCACATTTATTCACAAAAATTGGCTGCAATCTCCACCCCAAACTAGGGCACATCGGTGAACTACTTAAAGAAAAGAAAGCCCCTCACTGAGACGTGATGATGTCACCGTGGGAAGTAGCGAGCTCGGGGCAGGGGGGTTTGGATGGTGGGAGGACACCAGGGCCACCGGGCAGGGGTGACGGCACCTGTGTCCCGAGCAGGCAGGCTGGGCAGATGGGACGGAGGCCGGGGCCTCTGGTCTGTGGAGGAAGCTGCCTCGATTCTTCCTTGGAGGTTTCCGCTAAAAATATCCTGTTTCCTGCAGGACAGCGCTGGGAGCCCCGTGAAGTCATCATCACAGGTCACTGTGCATTCCAGCAGCCCCATCAACCAAAGGAATAAGTGACAAAGGGGAGGAATGAGTGTTTATTAAGGTGTATTGTGGACTGCGTGCCAAGCACGCCAGAACTTCCCAGCCGGCTGCAGCGTGCGCTCCTGTCCGCGTTTCCCGCCCGAGCAGCTGGAGGCTCAGCGAGCTATGTGCCCAGCGTCTCCAGCTAGCAAGTAAGAGGAACAGAATTTGAACTTGCTCGACCTGACTCCAGAGTCTGCACATTTTTCCCTGCCGAGCACTATCTCACTGTAAGCCACTTTAGATCATCAGATGGGAAAAAGGACGATGCAGGGAGTGAGCGGGACTCCCTCAAATCACTGCTTTAGATTTCTCTCTTCCACATCTGGGTCTCCTCCCTAAAGGCCCCCCCTTCTCTGTGCCCTGGCCAAGGGCAGGCAGATGGGTGCTTGCCTCTTCTGCTCAGGCTCCGATTGCAGCCGGAGGAGCCTCTTCCCGGACTCGCTCCGGGCCCCAAGGTGCCCCCGCCCCCTCCCCTGGTCCTCCCTCTCCTCCTCGGGGCACCGGATTTCCAGCGACCTTCAGATCTGATACATGGAACGTCCCCAAAGGATGCTCCCATTGACATTGAGCGTGCTGCTGTGTGGAGCTCAGCAATAAAAGGGGGAAATTAACAGGCATTTAAATTCTAAAATTAATGATGAGAGGGCAGAGTCTTCAGAACATCTGTTTCCAGCATTTTCAAGGGGGTCTTCCATTGCTGCCGGCACTCAGCCGTGTGTGGCGATCAGCAGTTAAGTGGGACTCTGCACATCTGTGGCTGGAGGCCAGGGGCTGGACAGTGTGGCTCAGTCCCTGTACCCATGTGCCCTGTGGCTCGCTCTGAACATTGTGTCCCCTGCATGTTGGGGTCCCAGCCTGTGGGCTGGCTTCCATGAGCCTGTATGGAAAACCTGAGTCTGTCTTTTTCCAGGAGTAAGAGCTCTGGGAAACTGAGGGTGCAACAAAGAAGTCCTCATGCCAAAGAAGGGGACTTGATCCTTCCTAGATTTATACTGCCCAATGTGGCAGCCACCAGCAACATGTAGCCACGGAGTACCCGAAACATGGCCCGTCTGAACTGAGATGTGCTGCACATGTAAACATACCCACTGGATTTCGAAGACTCATTTTTATATTGATTATGTTGATGAAATGATAATAGTTTGGATATATTGGGTTAAATGAAATATATTTTTAAAGTTAATTTCAGTGGTTACATTTTACTTTCTTTTTAACGTAGCTACTACAGATTCAAAATTACATAGGTGGCTCACACACTTCTATAAGACACTTTTGCTTTAGAGTTTGTTTTACCTTGGTGTTTCTCTGTGCATGGCAGTTTCCACCCCTGGAAGACCTTTTGGAAATTTTGGGAAATTCTTTGATATCGCATTGACCAGAGGAGGAGCTTACCAACAGTACAGTGTTGGGCACGAGGAATGTGGGACGTCTCACACTTACCGCTGCAAAGCAATGCAGCGCAACAGAAGAATTATCCCACGACCTGCATCATTTTGAATATCCCGACAGACATTAGGTAGTCGAAAAATTGGTTATATTAATATTTATCTGAGCCTAGATCAAACTCCATTTTATAAATAAACACAAAGGTTTTTTTTGTTTTTGGTTTTCTTGTGCAAACTAAAATTTCCAGGGATGTAATGACTATGCAAATCAAAGAGAGATTTATACTTTGTTTTATCTGGATCGTCACCAAGGTTGTTCATCATTTCAGAAATTCACAGCACTGTTGGCAGTGCTGCTCATGGTATTTGAGTTGCCAGCATAGCATGTGACCGTCACACATTCACTGCGATCCCACCGAGAGCTGCTAACTTCTGCCGACTTCACTACACTGGTGTAGTTGCGCTTGAGCGTTTGCAAATGGAGAGGCATATCGTTTTATGGAAACTACTTTCCCTTTGTTTCTTCTTTATATTACCACTGGGACTTTATATTGGGTTTTAGTAATTATATGTGTAGGTAAATTGCACTGCTGAAAAGGGGTCTTAACAAAATGCTTTTTACCGGAAAGGGCCTGTTGTATCTGATAAAATTACAAACCACCACTCAAACTCATTCACATTCTCTTTGGACTCAGGAGTATACACTTTGCCTCTTAAATGCCTCCTCAGGTTTCGGCTGCAGTGGCCCTTCCTCCAAATGTCTCTGTGCTTTCTATATTCTATACGTAAGCATCACCCATCCCTTGTCACATGGGCTGTAACTGCCTGTGATCTTCAGGTAGGAGCTGTGCACGGTTGGTTCTCTGCTCTACACCCAGTGCCCAGCCCATGGCGAGCACACTAGTCCCGGCTCGGTACTCAGTGAGTAAATGAGTTAATTAATGCAGATGAGGGGCACTTGGGATGCAGACAGCTGCAAGGGCGAATGGGGCCCAGTGCCAGCAGCTGGGTGGATGAGGCTCACGATTCCAAGGGAGCCCAGTGCCTTGGACTTTGGTAAAATGCAGAGCTCAGAGTGCGAAGAGTATTGCACTTTGGAGTCAGGTGACTTAGCATTGGGTCCTGGCTCTGCTATTACCTTGGTGGCCTCAGGGAAGTTCACCAACCTCTCTGAAGGAATCATGCTGGTACTTCCCTTATTTGTTGGGGATGGGGGTTACATGAGAACTGCTTGGAAAGCACTTAACTCCGTGTCGGGTCAATGGTAAGAACCCAACAGATGGGAGCAGCTTGTATCAGTCTGGGCTCTCCAGAGAAGCAGAAACGGCAGGAGATACAGGAATGACTCAGAGAGAGGTGGTGTACGGCTGTGGAGGCTGACAGGTCCCAAGAGCTGCAGCCAGCAAGACGGAGACCCTGGAGAGCCGAGGGTGGGAGTTCTGGTCTGAAGCTGAGTCTAAAGGCAGGAGAAGACGGTCGCCTTCAAGTCCCATTCCCACCCGCCACATAACACAGGTGCAGCCTGTGTGCCACGTAACCACGGAGTAAAGCGGGTTACCCTCCCCGGAGTGGGGGGGTGGGCCTGATCCAGTCCACGGAGGCCTGAAGGGGACAGAAAGGTGGAGGGAGAGAATGTGCTCTCTCTGAGGCACTGCATCTTCCTCCTCCTTTCTGTTGTATTCAGGCCTCAGCAGACTGGATCCAGCCAGCACAGGCCGCACCCCTGTCGTGTGGGGGTGGGACTGGGACCAGAGCCAGGCCTGGCTCAGGAGCTCAGGGTCTTTCCGTGAGTCTGCGCTGCACCCTTAGGGGTGGCGAGTGTCAGGGGGTGAAGTCACCAGGAGCTCATGGCATGGACAGAGAAAGATTTCTCACACAAAGTTTAGAATAGTTGTAAAAAAAGTTTATTTTACTTCTCAAAGGGTGAGATGGGCATGAAAAGAAAGAGTCAGCGACTGATGAAAAGTGGCTCAGGCTTTTAAAAGGTAAAAAGGTTTTTGTTCTCTCTGTCTCTCTCTCTCTCTCTCTCTCCCCCTTCTCTCTCTCTCTCTCCTACAGATGGATAACAGGAGCAGCTGGTGGCCATTTCTGGTTTTTTAAAATTTATTTCTTTTCTTTTCTCTGTGAGGCTGGCTTATCAGAGTCCTTGGGGCATGGTCTGGTGAGAACTGGAGCAGGGAGCTCACACCCCTGCTGTCCACTGAGGGCTCCTTAAGGCTGTGAAAACAAACTCTCAGGTAAAACAGTTTTAATCTTAGAGATGACGAGTTGAGTCCCAGGTGACTGATCAAACAAAAGGGCAGTTGTGTGTTATGAGTTTTCTCTTCAAAGGGGCAACTATGTGTTGTGAGTTTATCCCTCTTTTCTGTTTGGCAGTTTATCTTTCTCTGTTAGCCAGTTAATTATCAAGGCCGTCCTTTCAGTGAAATTGTCCTTGTCATCTGTGGAAATCAGCAGGACCGTCTGGAAAGGACCTGGGGCTCTTCCTGGCGTGCCTGCCGTGAGCTGGCCCTGGAGGCTGCTCTTTCCCCAGCAGGATGGACGGATCCAGCCTTCCCCACGGTCTCCAGGTTGTGGACACTGCCTTTTCCAACCATGGCTGTAAACAGCTGGTGCCAAAGCTCAGATCATTTGGTGCTTTAAGGTGGAGTGGCTTCACCCTGAGCTTCAGGTCCTTTTTCATGCTTGGTCCACAAACAGGGAGAGTATGGGGGAGATGGGGGGAGGCCCCCATGTAGACTTTTGTGTCCAGCTTCCTGGGCCCAAGCGCACGCAGCTCTCCCAGGCTGCCCTGGACTGGGGCTGCACCACGGCCAGGCCTCCTGTCACCAGTTCCCGTGTGCACCTAGCGGTGTCTCCCCGTGTTCACCCAGCCCATGGTGTGGCCTCTTCACCTCATCCTCCTCCCTCAAGTCTAGATGGTACATCACAGTTTACTTTCACACACGTTTCGTGCTTTGTCTGCTAAATCAGGAGTTGGCAAACTACTGCTGGTGAACCAAATTCCACTCGCTGCCTATTTTTGTTACTGGAACTCGCCCAGCCCTATTCTTTCCCCCGTTGCCTGTGGCAGCTTTCCCTACAATGGGACGGTTGAGTAGTTGCCACAGAGGCTGTTAGGGTCTGCAAAGCTTAGAATATTTACTGCCTGGAACTTTACAGGAAAAGTTTGCTGGCTTTCTCTGAACAAACCCCCAAGGCAAATGCAATTATTGTTATTATTTCCATGTTACAGGTGGGAAAAAAAAATGGATGAAACCAAGTGGCTCAGAGACCCTAAATGTTCTCTTAAGGACACAGAACTGGCTGGTAGAGCCAAACTGAAAGCCAGATGCTTTGCCTTCCATGGAAGGGTTTATATTTAAGAGAGGGAGACGCAGAAAGGGGTTGGCACCAGACAGTGGTTCTCTGAGAATGCCTTTTAGGACCAGTGACTTCCTCTTGAAGGAAAGAATAGAGGCAAGTTCCTGCTCTTCAACACATGGCAGGCAGCCAACTCTCAGTCCACTGGCGGAGGAGTCAGCCCGGGGTGCGTGGCTGCGGGGCTTGAAATGTCTATCAAAGGGGTCTGTAATATGTAGAGTCGGTATTTTATTTACTTTTTCTCTTCTGATTCCAGAAGCAAATAAAACCCTGACAACCCCTAAGTATGCAAGATAAACATGAAAAAGGTGCCCACGAGCTCTCCTGGTGGAGAGAGGGGAGCAAGCTCCAGGCAGGTGGCTTTGTAAGATGTAAGACGAGCTCCCCCTCCCCCCTTCCTCATGTAAGATGAGCTCCCCCTCCTGCCCAGCCCCTCACCACCCGCGCAGAAGTGGAGTGGCAAAGACAGCTGTGATCACGGTCGTCATTTCCCCAGCACTGTTGAGAACAGAGATGCTTCTCACGGGCTGTGCTTGCGTTCACAACACAGACACACGGAGGCTGTTGCTTCTGATAAGAACTCAGCATTTACTAACGATATTTCATGGCAGCCAGACACTATCTCCTTGTGGCTTCATCCTGGGCAGTCTAATTCTCCCTGGTCATCCTGGGGAGTTTAGAATGGTGAAGTCCCCACAGGGGACTTTGCTCTCAGTCTTGGAAACCCAGGGTCTGTGGAGTGCCTAGGAGGCAAGTTCATGCAAGGTGTGTAAACAATGGGGACCCTGAGGAGGAGGGGAGGCAGCCTTTAGTTTTGAGGCAAAAATTTGAAGCAAAAAAGACTTGGAAGAGAAAGAAAGGGAAGGCCAGGCCTAGATGAGAAGGTAAAGCCAACCAGGGAGTGAGGAGGGAGGAGGCTGCCAGCAAGAGTCAACTCTGAAGGTGGTGAGAGGCAATGGCACTGGCACCAGGGCCACAGGGTCACACAACTCCAGGGGCCGGGTGCACAGTTGCATTTGTAAATGCCTCCTCTTGGATTGTGCAGTGCACAGCCTGTGCAGCTGTACATGGCAACTCTGACAAGCACCAACTTGCTCAAAAACTTTTAGAAATGGATTTTTTAAACATAAGGTTGAATTACAGGTAATGAGCATATGTATATATATATGCATAGGTCTTGGTGTATAAGAGAGAATGAAAGAAGCAGAATAAAAATAAAATAAAATGAGCATCTCCAGGCTCTTTGTGCTGATCTGCATTATTAATGATCAAGCTTTGCCTGGGAGACAGCCCTCTAATAGAGGTTTTAAGGAGTCATTTTGCATGAGCAGGTCAGAGGGAAAGAGGCGGCTCTGAGACCCGGGTTTCTCCCTGGCGCCTGCGGTTCCTCTTTTCTCCTCTCGCCCAGAACCTGGAGACAGGCCTGTGTCTTCCCAGCCAGCCCCTCTCTTTCCCTCCGCATCAATATTTCCCATCAATTTGCATTCAATACCCTTAAAAACAAGATGTTATCAGCTGTAGCCAATTTCATGCAGACTTTAAGGAAAAGAAACCCTGGGCTTGCTGGCAGAGGCCATGGGTAGAGGTTCTCAAGCTTCAGCTGCTCAGAATGCCCTGGAGGGCCTGGGGACACTGGGAGGTGGCTGGGCTGCACCCCCAGAGCTTCAGATTCAGTAGGTCTGGGGGTGGCACCCAGGAATTTGCATTTCTGACAAATTCCCAGTTCATGATGATATAATAGTAAATAGACTTTGGAGCCAGCCTGCCAGCGTGTGAAAGCCAGTGCCACCCTTGCTGCCTCTGTGACTTGGAGCAAGTTACTCAAACTC